TACCTGTTGATGATGACAGGTATAGTATTCTCAACTGGATTGGTCTGAGAAGTATTTCATGATGGGTAAAGTCTTTTTACAAGTAAAATGAGAAATAGTGATTGACTGTTTTAAAAAATAATTAGAATAATAATAATGATAGGGAAAAACATAGAAAAGTTATTGAATGATGAAGCGGGGAGATTAATGTCTCTGTATTGACTGACATGCATGGCAATCCCTTTTGAAAAAGCAATGTAATACACTGTAAAGTTATATGTAATCCAATGTAATATAAAGAAGACTATAATGATAATTAAAAATAAAAATTAAAAATTAAAAAAAAAATTTTAAAAAAAGAAGTCATGTCCATTCATTTCTACATAGCTTTTGCATGACAACAGCAAAGATGCAACAGAGTTGCTATGACAGACCATGTGTTCCACAAAGCTGAAAACAGCTGCTATCTGGCCATGTAGAGAAAAACTTTCCTGATCCCTGCTTTACACAACAGGACAACAAGTAGGCCAGGACTGTGACTCCTGCAAAAAGGAAAGCAGTGAGATATATCCTGCAGTTGCCCTCCTCCTTCCACAAGAGAGGAAGAATCCAAACAGAGCAGAGCAACCCTGAAGGGTTGAGGAGACAGAGCCTGGAGGTCAGGAGGCAGAGCCTGGAGGTGAAGGAGGCTAAGGCAAAGGTACTAGCACTACAGCATTGCAAAGGAGCTCTGAGAATCTGCACAGGCATCTCCTTGAGTCTGACACAGAAGCCTAAACTGCTGAGGAACAAGCACTGGGAGCTGGAATATGAACAATTCACAGAATTCCTTCCAGCCAAAATAAAACTACTTCACTGAATTCTCAGGGCAGTCAACAGCGACAAGAAAAGGCCACACGGTGTGATTAGATAGTTATTCCTCACCTAAGAGAGATGGCAAGTGTAGGAAAAGCCAGGGAAAACAGGCAAAGAAGCCAGATACTATGACAGACCTTCCCCTGCTAAATATTCATTACCAACCCCTAGGATAACAGTAACACCTAGCCTCATGCCCAGTGCAGTTGTACTGCTTTGGCAGCTGCCAGAAAAATACCACCCATACATTTTCTTCCTAGAAGAAATCTTTACTTTTCTAGTAAAACTTTTCTCCTAGTTAAAAAAGAATAAATAGCCCTGGAATAAAGGCTACTCTAGACCCCCCTAATAAAGCTCAACAACAAGCCTGGAAAGGATCAGCCTAAGCCACAAATTATTTAGCTGCCAAAACAAACTTCAGCATTCTTTAAAGGAAGACAACAAAATCCAAATGCTCAACAACATAATACAATGTCCATGTGAAGAAACAGAAATAAACAGAAACGAAGGCATTAGCAGACAAGGAAATTAAAACAGCTATTATAAACAAACTCTATAAACTCAAGAATATACAGGAAAACAAACATACTGAATAGAGAAATGAAAGAGAAAAAAATAATTCCATTTAATTCTTTGTTATATATTCAATAGGCAAAAAAATTATAGTATCTGAATTTTAAAAATGTACTGCTGAGGGCCACAGCGGTGTCACAGTGGTAACACATGCACTGTGATACCGGATCCACACAGCAGGGCCCCAGGTTTGGAAAGACCCTGGCGAGAAGGGTTGCTTCTATCTGTCTCTCCCTCTCCTTCACTCCCTTCCTCTCAAGAAAAAAAAATCAATTCAAAAATAAAATTCAAAAGAGATTCACTGGATAGAATTAATAGCAGATTAGACATTGCAAAAGACAAGATGAATTCATTTAAAGATATAGCAATAGAACTATTCAGATTGAAACCATCGCGCAAAAAGATTGGAGGGGAAAAAAATGATTTTTTAATGCATTTTTAATTTGAAGAAAAACAGTTCTAGCTTTGATAGATCAAAATAAAAAAATATTAAGAGAAATTTGCTTGGGACCAGCAGTTAGCGTAATGGCTATGTCGCTGGACTCTCAAGTAGTCGACTGCGGTTCAAGTCCCGGACCCGGAGGCTTAAACTCACGCCAGGTGTGTGTGCGTGCATGCCCAAGATCCCAAGAGGAGAATGGAGGAGAAGGGACTGCAGTGTGGCCATCCCTCCTGGGGGGGGAATTTCCTGCTTTCTCTCTCTCTCTCTCTGTCTGTCTGTCTGGAGAGCACATGCGCCCTACAGCAAAAACCTCTCAAAAAAAAAAAAAAAAAAAAGAGAGAAATTTGCTTAAGACTTAAAAGTCAGGAAAAAGGTTAGGATTCAGTTCAAACAGTAGGCAGATGGAAAATAACTGTATCATGATACGTTTCTCAAAAGTCAGATACTTTAGATCACATGCTCCTTGAGGTCAAACACCTCCAGGTCTTTGTCCAGTTTCTGGAATATCACTGAATGCACAGGAGTGAGCGAAGCCCACTTCACTCTCAGTACACAGCCATGTGGTATGTAGAACAAGATGAGAAAACAGACGCCCAGAGGGATTAAATGACTGTCCAGACACTCAAAAGGCATCCCTAGAGTAATGCCACAACACAGACTCACCTCAAAGCAGACATGAAAGAAGTAACAAAAGAAGTAAGTTTTAAATATTACTTACTCTGGGTTTCCACCAGATCCAAAGCAACACTAGAAGCCGTGTCCATTCCAGAGCTGATACAGGCCTGGAAATTTTTTAAGGAGGAGAGAGCAGACTCTACCCCACTGAAGGATATGAAACCCGTTGAACCTGAATTGGAACTGGAACGCCCTGGCATCCTGAATTATTACCTAGAATTTCAAACACAATGAACAAGAGTTACATGTCAAAATAATAACAGTTCAGGAAAATAACACGGTGGTAAATGTTTAAATGAATGTATTCAATACCCCACGAGTGCCACACTGTTATCTACTTTCTATATCCCTTGAGAGGATTTCAAAGCATGGTAGCACTCTGTGCCATTATGTGAACCACTAAGCTCTGATGAATTCAGTATACGGGAAAGGCATGTACACACAACCCCACACACACACACCTACACATACACACACCACAACACACACACAGCTCCTCTGTGTTCCAACAGGTTTAGAGACTTGGTAAGATCCTAGATTCAGTAAAAGCTGAATTTCTCTAAAGACTTATCTTCCAATAGCTCACCCACTACAAATTTTAGTTATTACCTTCCTGTTAAACACTCCCTAATCTATCATCTACCGCAAATATCTCTTTTTTTTAATTTTTTATGAGAGGGAAAAGGAGAAAAGGATGGAGGGAGAAAGACACAGAAGTATTTTCACAGGGTCTTCTTTAGATTCTCCTGCCCCAATCACCCCAATATCTAGGACCACAGGCACAAGCCACCGCACCCAGCCTGTTTTAGGTTGGCTGGGAACCAAACTCAGGCCTTTCCAGGCCACTCTCTATAAAGTAGCAAGCCACCTACCCTGACTTCTCCACTCGATCTTTTACACTTTCTAGCCTACTGCCTCTGCCTTCTCTCTCTTCACATTAAGTATTGCCAAACAGCATTCTTCTACTTATTACGTTTACTGTCTCTAGTCACCAGTGAGACTGGAAGCACCTAAAAGGTGCTTTTCTGTTTTGTTCACTGCTGTATACCAAGCAACTAAAACAATGCAGGATGCACAGTAGCCACTCAATAAAGTCTTGTTGGAAGAATGAATGAGAAGGTCAGCAGGTGGCATGGTAGTTAAGGTGCTGGACTCCCACATGGCCAACCAAAGATCAGGTCCTGGATCTGGTGGTTTGCTTTTTCACTTTCTCTCTCTCTGTGTCTCTCTCTGGTGAGCACAAGTGCCCTATATAGCAAATTAAAAAATAATGGCAATAATAATTAATTAATTAATTATTCCTTTAAAAAATGAATGAATGAGTGAAATACTGTGCCTATGCTCCCAGCACCTAAGACAATACATCTCTCCGAAATAACAATGTCAGCATGCGCAGAGTCCAGTGCTCTGATCTCTAGACACCATTCTCTCCCACCTGCCCAGTGCTCCCAGCCAGGTCCATTCCACTTAAACACTCGAACTTAAAATGTAGAACATGGAATAGCCAATACCTCCCTGTCCTCCTGACCCACTCCCACCAAAACCTACTCCTTTTGTAGCCTGCTCCATCTTACTAAATAGTAATTCCATCCTTCTATTTTCTTTTTCCTTTTTTTTTTAGAGAAAGAAATGTTTGCTATAGGGTGCATGTGTTCTCCAGAGACACAGAGAGAAAGAAATCACCCCTTCTCCCCCCGCCAAGAGATGGCCATGCCGCAATCCCTTCTCCATTCTCCTCTTGGGATTTGGGGCACACACACGTATGCACCCAGTGTGAGTTTCAAGCCACCAGGTCTGGGACTCTCACCATAGCAGACCACGTGGGAGTCCAGAGCCATAACTACTGTGCTACCTACTGGCCCTCAACCTTCAATTTCTTAGCACAAAAGCCTTGGATCATAGCTGACCTTTCTCCTTCCTCCCATATCCTAAATCGACCCCATCACCAATTTTGCCAAGTCTGCAGCCAAATTACCTCCAAGATCTAAGCACTCTCACTACTTCTGTCACCACCATTCAAGCCATCATTACTTGTCTGAATTACTCCCACAGCCTCCTATCTGGACTCCCCCTCCCAATCTTGCCTCTTCCAGCCAGTTCTCTGCAGCCAGTGAGCCTTTGAAAATGTACCTATGATCATGTCATTCCTCTGCTCAAAAACCTCTAACAGCTTCCTTACTCAGAGTAAAGGCAAGAGCTTTGTAACAACCAACAATAGCCGTTCTCCAAATGGGCCCTGACCAAGTAGCATCAGCATTGCCTCTGAACTTGTTAGAGATGCCAATTTTCAGGCCCCAACATCTGTTTTCACACTGTAATACTAATTCTGATGTACCTAGGCTGCAGTGTAGCATTCCAGAGAGGAAATGGGCTAGGTGAGCATCTGACTGCTACACTTTACAAGTGTCCTGAGCACAGGCTCTTAGGCAAAGGCAGCACTTAGGCTGGACCCTAACGGATATCTAGGATTTGGAAAGGGTTAAATTATCCGAAGAGAGCATGTTGTTGTTCTTGTTGTTGTTGTTTTTTAAGCTTATTTATTTCTTCCATGAGCAAGAGAGACACGAGAAAGAGATTGACCACACCTCCAAAGAGGTCATGAAACTGCAATCCACCCTCAGTCTTCAGCTGGTTCTGGGTCATGGGCAAGCATGGGTCTGACATACTCAGGGAGGTCTCTGAACTGGAACCGGGAACCTTACCACGTGAGATTGCTTTGCATAGCATCCTGTTTTATAGCTGTGCCACCACCTGGCCCCTGAAGAGGAAGGAGCACCTTAGAAGGAGGAAACAGTAAGATGATAAAAGGTCACAGGTAGAAAAGTATGGGATGAGTTCTGTTTGCATGGCACACAGGGACAAAGAGAAGAGAATTGAATTTTGTCTTTGAGGGGGTACAATGTAGAGCGTCTGACATGCAGGGTAAAGATTCAGCCCATTTAGATCCAGGAGGTCATCAAATGAGAATTTTTAGCTTTACATATTTTTACAAGTTTACCTTAAAATAAAAACCCAAAGTAAATACAGCAAAACGATACAGATGTGAAAATCTGTATGGTGAGACAAGGGTTCTCTTTATGCTATTTTCGGGGGCTTTAAAATTTCATACCAAAATAAGGTTAGCAGGTGGTATAGTGGTTAAGGCACCATCCTCCCACAGGGTCACCACAGACCAAGTCCTGGACCTGGTGGCTTGAAAATCACTCCATGCATGTGTTATGTGTGACCAAAATCTCAAGAGGAGAATGGAGGAGAAGGGATTACGGCATGGCCATCCCACTAGGGAGTGATTTCTCACTTTCCCTCTCTGTATCTCTCTTTCTGTCTCTCTCTAATGAGCACACTCATTCTATGGCAAAAACTGAAAAAAGAAAAACAAACATTTTTCATATCAAAACAGAAAAAGTAAATATGAATTATTTTTTTAAATGATGATTTTTTTTTAACTTTTTAACATTTTGGTAAAAGAGTGCTTATCTACAATCTCTTTTCGTCATACCAAACAAGTTGAGTCATTTTACACAACAGGTATATTAGGGCACCAGGAAAGTCATGATGTGCTTTTTTAATGCAAAAATGTGTCCTGACTGTCCTGATGACCCAACAGTTGTTCTGTAATATATCATGAGAGATTCATCCAGGACCCCCTGCAGGTACAAAAATCCACAGATGCTCAAGTGGCATACGGTACAACCATATGCAGTAAGATGAGAAAATAAAAATTCATAAAAATCACAATAAAAAATCAGAGAATAAAGGGAAAACCGAGCACATAAAGTTAGCACATAGTCATGCAAAATTTAAGATTCTGCATGCTAATTTGTCTGTGAGCTTCCCGACAACCAAAACAAAAAGTGAAAGTTACTTTCCTCATAAAGAAAAAAGTTC